TCTCCCTACAATATACTTATTAATTACAGAAGGAAAAATAGTAACTTTAAAGTGGAGAAATCACTTTCACCAAGTGATCAATGTTAATGTCTTCAGTAATGAGGCACAGCAAAATCATGTGCCTCCTGATACAGTGCACTGACAAGGAGATGACATCATTTGCCAAAAATTAATAAACTGAGGAAATTTCAGACAAACCCAAAATGAGAGACATTCTACAAAATAATTGGCAAGTACTCTTCAAAGGTATCGAGCTTATAAAAGACAAAGAAAGATTGATGAACTGTCCAAATTAAAAAAGACATGACAACTAAATGCAATGTGTGAACCTGGTCCAGAAAAAGGACATTAATTGACATTTGACCAACTTTGATTAGATAGAGTAGATAAAAGTGGTTTATTAATGTTAAATGTCATGATAGTGGTCATTGTAATGTGGATACATGAGGTGGTGACATTTGGGAAATCTAGNGTATCCGCTATTCCACCTTCTATTTTTCTTTTTAATTAATTTTTCTTAACTGACCCATGATAATTGTATGTATTTATGGAATACATTATGATAATTAGGTACATTCATACTGTGTGCAATGATCATATTAGGGCGCTTATTAGATTCATCACCCCAAACGTTTGTCAACCCTTTGTGTTGGGAACATTAAACATCATCTTGGCTAGCTATTGAAAGATGCACAGTCTTTGTTGTTGACTGCAGTCTGCCTATATTGCTGTAGAACACTAGATCTTATTCTTCCTATCTCTCTACTATTTTGTATCCACTGACCACCCTCTCCCCTTCCCCTTTCTACCTCCCCTTACCAGTCTTTAGTAACAACTATTCTACACACTACTTCTATGAGTTCAACTTTTTAGCTTCTGCAAATGAATGAGAACATGTGGTTTTCTCCCTCAGTTCCTGGCTTATTTCACTTAACATAATTTTCTACAAGCTCATCTATGTTCATTCCTTTCATGGCTGAGTAGCATTCCTTACTACCACATTTTCTTTATCCAGCCTTCTGCGGAAGGACATTTAGGTTGATTCCAGCTCTTGGC